GCCTGGACGCCGCCCCCGGCCTGGTCTCCACTCCTCCGCCACACCTCTCATGACAGCTCCCGCTCGAAGATGGCTGCGAAGGGCGCGCACGGCTCCCACCTGAAGGTGGAGAGCGAGATGGAGCGCTGCCGCGCCGAGGGCCACTGGGACCGCATGTTCGAGCTGGTCCGGCATCTGCAGACGCTGGGCATTTCCGGCGGCGGCAGTAGCAACCGGCGAAGCAGCCCGAGCGGCAGGTTCATCGCTCTGGACACCGGTGAGTGAAGGAAGCTGGGCAGGTTAGCCGGCAGCTAGCGCGCCGAGAGCACCGCCTCCTCCAGGAAGCGCTGCTGCTCGACCGATCGTCCCGAGACGGCGCTGGGCGCTACCCTACCGCAGCCGAGGCAGTTAGGAAAGCCTTTCTGTCCGAGGGGGCAAAAATCACATGCAGATTGGGTGTTTGGAGAGAAGAGAGAGAAAAAGCTTCTGCTCTCAGCCCTTTAAGGTCATGTAGGTAACCTTACGGTGAAATGAAGTATCAGAGAAGTGCATTGGACAGGACTCTTGCCACCCTAAACTGCCTACACTCCCTCATGCTGAGTTTGTTCCTCTGTGTCTTCCCTTATTTTCCCTTCAAATAGAGAACCGAGCTCTGTCCACTGCAGACTTTGACCGAGGTTTGTTGAGTGCCTGGGTAGGTCCGGGAAGAGGCCGACGAACTTCAGTTTCTTCTCCAGTGCCCGACACTGGCGCTATCCAGTCCTGGCAGTGGCTTTAGCAGTAGGGCTGGTTTAGCTGGGCTGGGCTCTCTCTCTCGTGCTGGGGCGGGAAAGCACCCTGATGGGGCGGAGGGAGAACCCCGCCCAGTCTCCAGCCCCAGATCCTGTTTCGGGTGCCTTGCTATTGCCTTGAGAGCAGTTCAGAGCCACCCCCCTCCCCGCCGCTGCCCTGCGTGCACACAACCACCTTTTCTGAAAGAAGCAGATATAAAGCCTGGATATGAAGAGTTTCCCAACACCACCTCTGTAAGAGAGATGGAGTGATTATAATAACAGAAATAGCCGGTGCCATTGCTTGCTGTGTATCAGAGTCCTCGGGACTTTCATCAAGCCATCACTCCTCACCACTCTTCCTACTTGCCATACTCTATAGGTAAATTAACTTCATCATCCAGTCAGGAAGTTGTAAAATCTGAACCCAGGAACCTAAGTATGTCTTTTCGTTTGTGCTGTGTTCCCAAAGATGCATGGAACAGAATGCCCACCCTTGCAGAGTGCCCAGAGTGGGTAGGGGGCAGGATGGTGTGCAGTTACCGACCGATTGGACTGTAGAGCTCAGAGGGGTGAGGGCTTCAGAGAAGCTGCAGAACTTGCAGTAGTCTTGCCTGATGTTTGGGAAGCGCCTGGTGTTTGCCCCAAGGAAAGTGCTGTTTGCAGGGATACCAAGAGACCAAGCTGTCTAAGCATTGCCATGGGGGCGCCTGTCAGTTCTTCCCGATTCCAGGGTTCAGCAAGAACATTGCAGGAATCCCTTCTGGTGGGGCTGGTGAGGGTGGGACTGAGAATTGACGATGCACCGGTGTTGGTTTCTGGGTAGTAACATCTGGGAATCTGAGTAAGGCTGAGCCCCACCGAGCAAGGTGCTGGGCCCAGACAGGAAGCAGGGCCTCGAAGGAATTGCTTTTCCTAAGTGTTCTTTAGAGATTCCAGGGAGGCTCAGCACTTGGCTAATCAGTGTCCCGGGAGGAAAAGGCTGGGGAGCCAAAAAGGGAAGGGAAGAATGGATTTAAAGATGGACTTTAAAATCAGACAGCAGGACTGCTGCAGGGCGTGTCTGTCAAGTCCCACCACCTAGGAGGCAAAGGAAGAGGGCCATGTATTGGTGTTTTGTTTTGTTTTTTTTTTTTTTCAAAAAAAATACCCAAAAAAAAGGGGGTGGGGGTGAATGGGGGGGGGTTCCAGGGGGGGGTCCCA